ACTTTATTTGATAATCAAAGAAAATCAACAGATGAATTACCTTCTCTAATTTTTTATAAGAGAAAAAAAAAACTTTGTCACAAATATGATTTTCTATCAACAATGCAAGAACCAATGCAGCTTGCATTTCAACACAATATGGAAGTAGCCTATATTAAACAGATTCATTTTTCTTTTAAATGAAGAAAAAGCTGCTCTTAGTCTCAGACCGGTCCGTATTTGTAAAATACCGGAAAAAAGTCCAAATCTGTGAATATCTTACCAACTTTCAATATGGATCGACTTTTTGGAAAATGGAAATAATGAGGTAAGATATGCGCAGGCTACTTCATAGTTCGGTAAAGTTGGCAAGATATTCAGATTCAGACTGACGGACCGGTCTGCGAGGTGGACGCATTGCTCTTAATGTGCCGGTAATGATGGTAAATGATGGTTATAGCTGGTTGTTAACTACGATCCACTACGATTACTGAAGGGGGGCGTTTGTTTTTTGACAACGTTTTATCTCATAATTTATTTTTATCCCCTTACTTTGGTGCAGAAATGGGCTTCTATAATTGTGTGAATGCATCACTACAGCCAATCCAAAGACGGGGTTTGTAACCAATCAGGTGTAGAGACCATGGTGACTGGCTCCGCCCCCTTACTGTCAAAAAGAAAAAGAGCGAGCGCGTAGAAAACACCTTCAAGCGCGAGCAGAGACTAACGTCGCGAGTGAGGAAGTTCACGCTCCGCGGGCGAGCAAATATCTTGCGCAAGACGGACTTTTGCTCGCGCAAGACAGGCTTTTTTTTTTTTTTTATTCCGATTATTAACTTTTCTGAATCAAGAGAAAGCGAAAAATCTATTATTTTTTTTCCCCCCGCCCCTACTTTTGACTGTGGTGATAATGAAAAGGTGACCTTGCTGTCCTTACTGTCCAAAAGTGGTCATTGCCAGCGTAATCAAAGCCTTGTAAAGCGCAGTTCCCTCCAATGATGGCCAGAGGATTTGGGATACCCCTGAGTTTCCCCAACACAATAGCGTTGGCCCCATCCGCCACCTACACCCCCACACACAGAAGAAGCAGAAATACGAGGCCTTTTGAGAATACTGTACAGTACAACATGTTGACAGCTTGTCTCCTGCGTGTAAAGCACTGCTGCTTCTACCAGAATATGTTTTTTTCATGTCATTTATCAAGTATTCAGTTCGACCAAGAATTCAATAGTCTCACTACAATTTTTGGATAGCGGATTTTTTAAAATTCTGGGCACCCTCCCAAAGAATGTTCGGCATGAAGCACGCAACCTGGCCATTCTTTATGACTCGGCGCTCTCACCAAAGTTGTGCAGATCTGCTTCGGCCAACTGCGACAACTAAGAAAAATCAGGTGCAGGTGAGAGGAAGGACCTGGAAGGAGTCTTCCCTGTGTTTATCTCTTCCAAGCTGGTCTATTGCAACACACTTTATTCTGTCATTAGCAGGCGAAACATTCAAAGACTACAAATGATGCAAAACGCTGCTGCCGCCTTTTTGACCCTTACAAGGAGAAGCGACCACATCACACCAGTCCCTGCTGGTCTTCACTGGCTACCTGTGAGTTTTAGAATTTAGTATCCTCTTTTCAATATCTTCTAAAGATTCACTTCTACCAGCTGCCTTTCTTATACAAGTCAGGTGATTTAATTTAATTACATTTGTATTTAATCTAACTATTAAATTCACTGTGGTTGTATTTTGTATGGCTCTTATGCACACTTTTATAACATTGTTTGGAAAGGTGCTATATAAATGAAATTTTTATTTTTTATTATTATTACTATTATGTATGATCTATGATCAGTGATATATGCATATATTGGAACGGTGACACTTAAGCGTGAGCGTGTTGTTATGACAAAGTGGCCAGGGACAAACTTCCACTCACCTCTCGGTAGAAGATGTCAGCATTGTCGTGGACATCATAGGCTAGCAGGATTGTCTGGGATCCCACTAACAGCGTGTCCCCAGTGGTGTTTGGTCCCAGAGTTCCTGCCGTCAGACAAGTGACTGCCTGGTTGATGTTGAGGAGCGACATGTCAGAGTCTTGTGCGCTCTGGCTGAGGCGCTGGACCACAGGCCTCTGACCACGGGCATGAGGGTTATGGATAAAAACCTTAGAGAGAAAAACAGATAATTCAGGATATGACGGGGAAAACATCGTCGTTGCCTGGTTCCATCATTTCAGGCTGGTAAAGCAGGACAGCGAGAAATTTCCCTCACCTTTCCAGCCTGCGTGGCTGCAGTAAGACGTGGGTGCACTCCATCGAATTTCAGTTCAGTCACCATCCGAGGGTTAATCTTGTGGTTCAGCTTCAGGGTGAATATTGGGACCAACATTGTGCCTATAATCTATATCCTGACGAGAAGAGACAAAAAAGGGCACAGTGTTAAGTTATTTTTTCTTTTCTTACGGTAATATAGGGAACTAAGCATGGGAGCATCAAGGCATAGAGCATACGATCAAGGGACGACAATGCCTGGTTTCGCCACAGTAATGTAATTACAGGCATTACCTCAAACACCCGTTCGCGTTTCCATAATGCCAATTACACAACAAAAGGTCACCAAGCGTGACTTTAGAACTGATTCTAAGATCTGTTTCAATAGCAAATACGATTATGATCTCTGGAAGTAAATGAAATGTGCAGTTAATAGCGTTTATTGACGTGCATATATAGCAAGTTATCTAGCGTTAACGCTATTAGCTCATGTTAACGTCGCTGGCTTCAATGTAGCCGGAAACCACTTCAACTATGATATGACGATAGAAAAAACAACGAGAGGGGAAACCGTAACGTTGCCTATTTGTGGATGCAAACTCACCACTTCAGCTTTAAAATCTTCAGCTTTAAGATTTTGGTCCACTAAGCTAACTAGCTAGCTGGATAGCACGACAACGCAATGGTAGATGACGGTCGACTCCTAGACAACAACTACTTCCTCTCTGCGGCTTTCAAAATTAAAGATTCAGGGCAACCATGGGGGAGAGGAGTTAAGGCATGTGATATTGTTACATCAACTCTCACTATACCTTACCTTACTATTTACCTTTTATATTTGCAAGGTATTTAAGCAAGACTGTATATTGTAGAATGCCGTCTATTTTCAATGGTTTTAAATCAACTATGCCTTGTGTAAGAAGGCATCCAGCTATTTAGTGTTGCATTCCCCTTATAGTTGGTTTAAGAAATATATACGTTCCACACTGTCCATCAGAAGCTAACTGCAACCATGGCCGACCACTCCAACTACATCAGGAACATGCTGGTGCAAGCAGAGGATGCTCGCCTTATGGGGGAGATGTGAGTAACAGTGAGACCAGTATGTTGAACTGGTCCCATCATTTCCAATCTTTCCCATCTGGAAATGCCATTACAGTACAATTACACCATTGTTGGCTTAAAGCTGGTCTCTTTTTTCAACCCAAACCCTCCACTTGGTGCATAATAACCAGGTCAAAAAAGGACATGTATGGTACTTGAAACCAGGACTTCTTACAATTAAATAAAAATAAAACATACTGGCTCAGCTGTCCATAGTAGTTACAAGCGGCTCAGAGAAAGTAATGAAATACTCGGTGAGCTAGTAACATGTTTCTCAATATCATATCTAGACCAACATTTCCCTCTATTGGTCACAAGACTGCACTGATTAAATTAAATTAAATACTGATTAGTTATAAAGCACATTTGCAAATATCTAGAGTTTTCCAAAGTGCTGTAAAATGCAACATCAAATCAAATTCAATTTGAAAGAGATCTGACGACAATCTGAAGCCTGATTGATATGTTTTCATTATGTTGTTACTTTCTTAAAAGAGTAGATAATTTTTCCCATATCGTTAAAATGGAAAATAAATAGAATATAAGTTGGCAAAACACTATTTAGAGCAGTTTCATCAAGTGTAGGATTCTTAAAAATAAGGTAAACCGCTGCATGTTGAAGCAGCGAGGAACAGAGCCACGTGTTGTTGGCCACACACAGCAGGGTTTATGGATTAATGCTTATTGGGGTGATGCTGCTTAAGTTTAAAGGTTTGTGGACAACGATTGTTGGAGGGATGCCTATCACTTCTTCCCACATGAACAATGATTCTTTGAATAGAGGTTGGGAGTGTGGGGGCTGTAACGATGGCAACTCTACCAGGATGTTGGTGAGTTAAGGAAACAGATGTTCCTCATTATGAGCTCCCAAAATATCTTTGTCCTAGGAGAGAAGAAGGGGTAAGGAAAAGTTAAGTGAGGGCTTTCAGGGCTGGATCCCAGATGTTGAGTTCATGTACATAATTATAGCTTACTGTATATAATTATGTGCCTCACTATGCACTTTTTAGGTGGTGTGGCCGTTCCAAGATCTTGTTCTTTTAGGCTGTGTGTACATTTCAGACGGCATCTGCATAAGCGACAGATGTCAGTGTATTATGTTGAGTGATGGCACAGCTATTGCCGTTGATGTGTTGAACATCTTCCATTTCCCCCATTTCTCACAACATTGTTCCTATTTGGTTCTTGTTTTGTGGGTTAACAGTTCCATATCGTTCAGTTCAGTCACAATCTTCATGTTGGTGGTTCCGTCCTGTGCCATCTCTTTGTAATGGCCTTTTTACTAGCTGCTAGCAGAATTCTCAGCAGATACCGGTCTTCTCTCAACACATCATCTCCTGTCATATTACCAGGTAAAGAAACATACATGACTTAGGCATGTCATAGCCCAAGATTCTGACAATGGACATTTTCCCATTATCTGAAGTGGTCCTGGTTATTTAGTGTGCGGTAACTGATACGTATACCACTTCTCAGTTGGAAAAGAGGGATGTGGTATATTGGATCGAGCACTCGGTGCTCGATTGTGTTTGACTGTCGCTACGACGGAGTTCTGTGATTGTTTGTTCATGCCTGACAGGTGCTGAGTTGAGCGCCAGTAAATTACCTAACTTGTACTGCATCCTCTTCTCCGTGCATTTGTATCAATTTAGATAACCCACGTATAGTATATGACTATAACAGTGATTATACATGTAGCATAAAGTCACAACAAAAAGCCAAGAAGATAGTAGGTGACGGCATTGCGGATCACGTTCTCCAGGAAGACCTTCATGTTACCTAGTTGGTTTGATGCCAGATGAAGAAGCGCGAGTTCGCAATGATTTAAACGGGTATGAGGACGTGATAGAGGACACAGGCGGAGATTGAACATGGTGCTCTCGCGCCCTCTGCTGAACTAGACCACTAATCAGTGAACGTCTCCTGCTCGTTGTTGAACCTTCGAATTGTCCTCCTTTGAATTCCGCCTTTGATGAATCTATGGAGGGATTTCTAAGGACAGACCTTTGTAGCTTCGCATCAGCTCGGAGACTACAGTGTTAAACAGCGTCTGAGACCTTTATTTCCATCAGAACTCAAATAAAAGAAGCATCTTTCTATGAATTCAAAACTTCAATGTAAATGTTCCTGCACAAATATAAATTACCTGAACAACTAACAGATATCAGTTCATTCTCCAATATTTAAACATTGTGGAAAGAAAACAAGCTGGATGTACAAACGTGCTCAATCCATCTATCAATCGGTCAACATAAAAAATGATCTTTCCTCATTTTTTCTGAAGTGAGTGAAGGTCCTTAGTACAGGGTTATTCAGGGTTGCTGCTGTTGCATCTCCCTCCAACTCTTCCACAGCAGAAGATCTCGACTCTTCCCCAAAGCAACCACGCAACGAGGCAACTTCAGCCCGTTGAACTGACCCACGCCGTTGTCCCGGCCCATCGCCAGCAACATGGTGACGTTACCTAGCAACCGGCGACACCGTCAGCGAGAGGCAACCACCAGACACTCAACTACAACAGACGTGCGTGAGTTTACTTGTGCGGTACGAGGTCAGCTCCTTCCCACTCTGCCCAGTGAGCACAAGACGTAATTTCAACGTTGAAATATGGTTGAAATCGGGTTGAAATGAGGTCTGAACGTCTAAGACCTCATTTCAACGTCTTTTCAACCGTCTAAAAATGGGATGAAACATCAACGTGCCAGAAAACGTTAATTTGTTGATAAATGTGTCATGTTGTAACGTAAGGTTGAAAGAGAGACGATATTAACGTTAAGATTTTCAGAATAATTAATGAACTGGTCGGCGAAATTTGGTCTACGCGAAGACGTAATTTCAACGTATTTACTATTTCGCTTAAAACGTCATAAATATGAAACTACGGACTGCGTGCTGTCAATAAGATGCGTTTAAGACATAATAATGCGGGCAGGTTCAAACATTACTTGTAAACACGTAACTCCGCTCACATCTGTAACGCGCATGCGCGAGTTCTTAGACGCCTGCAGAGCTCCGAGCGGACGCAGCACGAAGCGAAGTTACGGCAGCAGAGCGACATGAACGGGCTGATAGAACCACGACTACCGGCTCCACTACTCTGTAAGTACGCGAGTGTTTGAATGAAGCACACCTGGAACTATAACCGGGTGTTTTACTTGTGCTGCCGACTCGATACAGGAAAGACGGCCCTTTTTGTTAAGCTAGTTAGCGTTAGCGCAGGTAGTTTGCTAGTTAGCATGCTAGCTTGGAGCATGCTAGCGTGCAGCATGATGACCTGGACCAAAAGTAAACATTCCAGACATTTTTGTGCGTGTTTGGTGTTGCTAATGCGTTAGATTGTTGCTGTACCCATAAATATTATTGCATTTCACATTGAAAAAAATACGTTTTTAAAGCAATGGTGGCTAAGTTGCATTGCAAGGGTGAAGGGCTGAATTCAACAAGTTGTGCTCTGTAAACAAGAGGGACAACACATTGTAAGTTACTGCTGCTTAAATCATGATACTGTGTAATATACCTGGAAATGTTACTCCAGAAATACCATAAGTTGCAGATGAATTGTTATCTTGTTGATAATGTACTAAGTAAACCATCTATAAATGAGTGTTCTAACGCACCTACTGCTGTTACTATTATTAGTTTATTACTGTCATCATAAACCCAAATGACCAACTTTGCCTTTGTGCTTTCCCTCCTCACAGGTTTCTGCGGGTTGTGGTTGCATCTGATGGAGGTTACGTCTGATGATGGTTGTCCCTGCACTGGTCCTGCCTTACCCCTGGCTTAGTAATCCACAATATTAGAATAATTTCTGTCGTAGGAATTGGATGTACTGTACATCTTTAAATTGTTCATACTCTACACACCTTCTGCCTTGCTGTTTTCTCCTCAGGTTTCTCCCGGTTGAAGGTTTTTTACATTTTGGGGGTTTTAGGACAGGATGTTGCATGTTTACAGATTGCAAAGCTGAACAAAATAAAATGATTTGAATTGAATAAACACGTTGACCAGAGAAATCTGCAATTGAGGGCTGTTCTCTGCACTCTGACTCCCTTTACACAAAGAATCATCAAGTGAGGATGAGGGAGATGCAGCTGATTTCAGGTATACTATCCCAACTCAAGTGACTCACAGCCACATCTTGTTACAGAATCTAAAAATGAAGTTCAAATGATTCAGAAAAATGGTCTACAAACACAGAATTGTTGTTGTTGAACACAGAAATGTTGTTTCTGCACTTTTAAATATATAGTTCATTTCCCTGAAATATATATTTTATTTTTGTACTGTTTTTAATTAGGAAAAGTGTTATATGTATAGTGTTATATTTATAATAATGCAAATTAATAAAATAATGTGTTTGTCCATGTTAAGGGCTGTTAACATGACAAGTGTGACTAAGTATGTAACTTGTAAGTTTCCAGCGAGCAATTTATCCGTTGAAACAACGTTTAAAAGACGTCTATGGCCCGACGTTGAAAAGAGGTTGCAAATTGGTTCAAAAGTGAAAGTTGTTTCAACGTCTATTCGTAGACGTTGAAAAGACGTTTACGTTTAGACCACATTTCAACCAGCGAGCATTTCAACGTTTAAAAGACGTCTATGGCCCAACGTTGAAAAG